TAAATGTGTATGTGTACAGAGTATAAACAGTTTTACTGCGTTAAGGGAGAGTTAAACCTCTCAAATAATACAAATGGAATCATTTGCATGCAACTGCATTTTTTTAATGCACATGGGTAAATTAAATTTTACTTTTTCAGTATTGTTATTTCAGAGACACTTTATCTTCTTTTCTGATTCTCACTTACTTTTCCAATCTTCAGCATTAAATTTCTTAACCTACTCTTCTCCGTTTGTTACCTTTCTGTTGAGATTGAAAAATCTGTAAAATACTTAGCAGTATTAGGGAAGTTCTTTATTTCTAGGCATTCTTAGGTGAATTCCTAGGAATTCAAGAGGGATTTTAATAATTCAGATGAATATCAGACACATTCTCTGATTTTTCTGTAACTCTGAGGTCTCTTGTTTCTTTATCTGTAAAGTAAACAAAATACTTGATTTCACCTTTTTCAGGATGGAGGTTAGGATAAACAAACAATTATGAAGAATTTACTTGGAGACCCTAAAAAAAAGTAATAGCAGTTTTTTTATTCCAAAGGAAACATTTAAAATATTTTTCTCCAAAGTAAGTAGTTAAATTTGCTTTAAAGGTTCGCATTTCTTTCCTGCCCCATGACTTTGTTTCTCTTTAGAAGGGTAGTACATAATGGTGGAATCTTCTTCTAGATGGTATGCAGTTAAAAGAAGAATCTAGAGAAAAACCAGATGAATTAAAAAAATATTCTATCGGCTTTCTGCAGGCAGATTCCAGGAAAATTCATTTTGGCACAGGTAGAATAGCCAACAGGAACTCTTGACTCCTGTGTCCCCGAATGAAGTTAGTGGAAATGACTCTGCAGACCACAAAGAAAGAGCAAAAGAGTTTCTGTATTCCTTTCTGGCTTAAGCAGTTCAGGACAACTTCATTGTACTATTCCAGACCCCAGTGAAAAAACGTTCCATGCTAGCATGTCAATGACCTTATGTTGAAATGAATCAACTTAGGGTAACAGATAGATAAAGACCCACAAAAATGAGCGTAGCCTTTGGCCACTGTTTTTGCATTCTCAGCTACATCAAGTCTGAATTTAACCCCAGTGATTCATTTCAGCCATGAGGATTGACAAGGGATGTACATATATCCACAGGCATGTACACACATGCACATGAACACACACACACAGACTTCAGTTGAGGCATGGAGCACCCACAGCTAACATAATTCAATCAGAATCAAGAGTTGCCTCTAACAAACATGGTACGCTTCCATCTTAGGAAGCTCGAGTCAACTTATTTTCTAAAGTACTTTTTTGCTTATTGAAATCCTAATGGAAAAACCATTATAGCAGCCATTTTGAAATGTGCGAATTACATAAACTGTATGTTTTGCTTTCATTACTAAAAAGCAATTAATGGATCTTGGCTTTTATTCCTGTTCTTCTGGATCATGCATGTTAGATAACCTGTGGAACTGAAAACAAGTGATCACTTAAGCCCAAATGTCTGTGAGCATAAACTGTCTTTCTTCAAAAGGTATGTGGTACTGTATTCCAGTAGACCAGTCATCTCCATGATATTGTTACTGTTTCTTAGTCGTGCTTTCTTAAAGATTTGTTAGGGGTTGTGCTTTGTTTGGAAACTTTGCAATTAGAAGAAAAAATAAAAATTAAGAACCAGTATTTAATTCAACCTGGATATTTTAAAAAAGAAATTTAGAGGATGTGATGGACTGTTTATGCATTAAATAAAATTTTATTTATTCTCAATTAATTGTTGGGTTTGTTTTGCTTTGTAGCTTGATTCCAGACTATGTATGTGAGATAGGTAAATTCTTGCTTTCAGTGGTTTTCTTTCAGCTCAGGTATTTTTTGGATACACTGCCAGTTTAAAATAGCAACCTTAAAGACCAGTGTTACTTCTATACAACAATTATTAAAGCTTGTACCCACTTGTATTCATGACCTTAGAAGGGAATTGGTGTATACCCATGTTAAAGGACAAGTCATATATTTATGGTTTTATATGCACTTTGAAGTTGTTTTCACTGTAGTTAGCAGAAAGAGGTATCTCTAAGCAGAGCAGAGGGTAGTCAAATTCAGTCCAAAACAGCGCTTTGCTTTTACTGGAAGATGGCAAAATTTAAGTTTAACTGAGCCTTAATTGCTGAATCCTACAGTTCTACCAACCACAACCCAAATACATTCTATCTGGCTCATCTCTAACAAAAAATTTAGATCTTCATTAATATAAAGGCCACCTCATTGACTAAGAAACTGGCTGTATTGGATGTTTAAAAAGACAGTCAGATTCTCTTAACATCTGCAAATACCCAAAGTTGGAAGTCAATATAATCAGTTTTGGGTAACGAGCTTAATGGTGTCATAGTACATATTGTTAAGTGGTTCTTAATACTGACAGCCCATTAGAATCACCTGGGGAGAATTTCAAACTATGCCCAAGCCTCACCTTGGAGAAGTTAAATCAATTCTTGAGCTGGGAACCCCAGACTTTGGTATTTTTTCAAGACTCCTAGGTGTGATTCTAATGAGCAGTGAGGGTTGAAAACCACTGGCTTGGATGGTATTTCCCCTCATGATAGGCCTGCTCGTTTGTATATGGTTCTTTAAGACTTCTGACCCTGGTGTTTGGGGATACGGCCTCCAGTTAGCACCTAGGAAGAGCCCAGATATAATAACTAATCAAACTGAAAACCTGCCCAGGGGAGTCTTCTTTTATTTTAATGCTCCCTCTTAAAGGGTTCTTTTGCATATGTTACTGGAGCTACACCACTGAAGTATTCAGCAATACTCTGTTTAGGACTGCTTATTCATTAGTACGTGTGTTCATCTTGGCTGCATATCCAAGGACAAGGGTGGTGTCGAGTAAGCCTGGGTGTGGGTAGGTGCTTGATAATATTTTATTTTTTTAAAAAGGGAGCCCAGGTAAAAGAATATTTTTGAATTTCAATATGCCTTATTGTCAAACTAGAAAGAACACAGATTTTTCAAATGTGTACAGTATAGAATACTGTAGCAACTCTTAAGTGTTTTGATAATCTACAATCTATTATGTATAATAATATATGAATCTTAACTTCAAAAAGATATTATACTTGTGCTATCCAAGCTCCTAATCCATAAATCATAACGGATTTCCCAATGTACAGTTTTTGGAGTTTTATCCAAGACTGGATTTGATCACTAAGACCCATTTACTTTTCCCTCAAATGTCTCCCAGGAAAAAATAGTACATCAAGTGGGGTGGATAGCTTAGGGATTTGGTAAGAGCTAAATTGCTCCCAGAGATTTCAAAAACACAGAAAAGGAAGCTATAGGCAAAATATTTAACAGACAGATTACCATTCTTTTCAGAGAATGGGATGGGGAAGAAGAGACATGGGATTAGGATCTTATCTATTTAATTAATTTATTCAATCTCATTAAGAAACTACTGTTTACAATAAAAAAAGAAATATTTATTGAGAGTTTATTCTGCCTATCCCTCTATACTAAAAGCCATTAGAGATAAAATGAAAAGCACAGCTCTCTTTTACGAGGTAATTTACAGTCTAGAGAGTGGGATATGAAGCCTACTGGGAGAAGGACTCCATCTTAACACATTTTTGAGACCTTCCTTAATTAACACATTTTTTAGTACTGGTTTTATTCATTCTTAAACTCTACAAACTTACTGGGGTTATTAATGAAGGTTTCTGAGTCTAAATAATAAACTATCGTGCCCAAATAGTAAGAAAGACAGAGGCCCAGAGCCTTGTCATTAGTTCAAGTACACACTGCAGTGTGGAGTGTGGCCAGAAAGAGGACATGGTATCATCTCTTCTAGAGTTGTGTAGTGTAAACTGTAGTATCTTCTAAGCCTAAACATTCTACCCTCTAATTTGCAGTGAGGAAGCAAAGTCCTGAGCCCTCCTCAGTTTCTTATTAACGGGTATCAGAAGGAAAGAGAAATTCAGCAATTGTTTCTCCAAGCTTTCTAGAGATTAACTTGCGATTTTGTAAGTTTAAGTTTATGCCCTGGGGAAGACACTTTCATTCCTTATATACCAAATGGATTTTGCTAATTAGGGGTAATTAAGAAAGTAAAAATTCTATGGAGACTTTCTATAGAAATAATATAAATTGCAAGTAGGTGGCTGCATCTGATGTTAGGCGTTGGAATCCATAATATGTTTGGGGGATGTCATTGTTTCTGTTGACTTGTGAAAAATGCCAAATGCACACATAACTTAGAGTCCTGCTTTTTCTAGTTATTATTTCTAATTGCTATTTCTAATAATGCATGCAGTGCTGTTGATCACCAAGTCACTATTTACATTAAGGGTTTGGTTTACGCATCCAGTGGTTAAGCAAATTTATGAAAGTAATTCAAACAAATACCATGCATATGATTTTGCTCTAATCTTGATTAGCCTTGATGGTAGTGATGCCCTTTTTGCTTGCTTGTACTGATTAAAAGGAAATAACTTACAAAAGCAACATTTTAAAATTTCTCAGTGCTAGTTATATTTATATATGTAATATTAAGATATATATATTCCTATATAGGAACAAATATATATATTTGGGTACTTGTAAGAATTAGTAGTAATTGGCCTCAATAAAATAATGAGGAATTGTATATCTATTTAAAAGCTAAATGTTATTTCGATTAATTTAACCTTTAAAAAAAACACAAAAAATAATACATCTATAGTTCCAAGTTACAGAGAAAGCTTTCAGATTAATTATTTGTATTCTCATCAGCTTGCCTTTTTTAGTATTAGAAAAGAGCACATCTACCAATTGGTGCAATTAGATTTAAACATTTCACATCTTCACTCAGGGAAGCACTCAATATCATCGCCCCCAAATAGGCCTTTATTGCCATCAGGAAACTAGCAGGGCACTTAGCATAAAAAACAAACTCACATTTTTATTTCTATATTACAAAATCTATATTTTAATAATGTATACATTTAAAAATACAGAGCACTCACGCCATTTACTCTAGCAAAAAAAAAAAAAGTATGACTACTTCATGCATACACACACAATGCAGTAAGCATAAATGTATATTTACACGACGGGTAGGTAGCTGTTTTAAGCATACACACGTAATGAATACTGTAACTTCACCCGAACAGGTCAAACTTACAAAGTTTAAGAAAGTGATTGTTTCTCTGAGGACTAAAACTGCAGTATAGCCTAATCCTATTTTTCCTTAAGATTGTTTTCCCTTAAAGTCGTCCCTCAAAAGGGAGAGGGGGCATTATTTTCACAGGAATCAAAACCATTCACAAGTTCCATTAATGTAGTCTACAAAATACTGATAAGGAGGAAGAGAAAGGCAATAAAATCGTGTCCATAAAACCGGTGACGCGAATAAAAGTGACCTGAAGGTTTGCTGTTTTAATCTAAGAACGCATCCTTGGCCACCTCCTGGGGAAAGGGCTACGGCTCCGGAACTCGATCACTGGGCATCTCCCCCTGGCAGGGGGCGCGCCCTAACTGGCCATCTGGAAGGGCTCCGGCTGGAAGCCGAAGAGCCTCTGGCCGTAGGGCTCGCTCTCACCAGGCAGCTTCGCGCTCGCAAACGGAAGGTAGTGGTCGCGGCCAAAGTGCTCACAATGGAGACTGACCCAGTCCCGCTCCGAGCCGAATCGCTCGGCCTCGGCCAGGATACGGGTCAGCGCCATGATGTAGCTCAGTGCCATCTGCAGGGTCTCATACTTGGACAGCTTTTTATCCTGGCCCCACTGGGGGACCACCCTACGCAGGCGGTCGAACGCGGTGTTGAGCCCCTGCATTCGCCGGCGCTCGCGCGCGTTAGCCGCCAGGCGCCTGCGCGCCGCGCTCTCCAGCCGCCCAGTCCCGGCGCACGCACCCGCGCACTCCGCGCCGCCTGCGCACGCGGACTCGGCGCGCGCTCCCGCCGCGGGGTTGCTGGGCTTGCAGGACTTCATCCCAGGCCGGAAGGAGTGAGGCTCTGACCTCACTCGCCCGCTCAGGACCTGCGCGCGAGCCGGTCTATCGAGCGGCTCCCCAACGTGGCTCTTCTGAGCGAGTAAGTCATACACAAAGCAACTCGCGTGGAATCAGAGATTACAGTGGGGAGTACGGGATCCCGCCTTCTGTCCTACTGGATAACCAGACTGCTGTCTCTTCACTTGCTCAAATTTAGGGGAAACTGAGGTGCTGAAGAGAAAGTCATTTTCCCAACGTGAGGTTGGAAAAGAGAAGGGAACCTCCTTGCTGCAGAGTTTGGTGTGGCTGGTTTGGGGAAGATCTTTCAAATCCTCCGGGAAAGCCCGAGACTTCTTTTTCAGGAAGACGAAATCTTTCCAGATGCTCAGAGAGAGAAGGAGCGCTTTTTCCGCAGTAGCTGTCGGAGAGTGCTGGATGAATCTTTGAAGGAGGAGAATTTATAGCAGAGGGCTGAGGGAGTGAACAGGTGGTGGCAGGTGGGCGGGCGTCCCTCAGCTTCCATCTCAGCACCTTCCTACCCTGGGAACTGCAGGGGGGAAGGGGGACGACGCACAGCAAAATCCTGACATTACAGTCTTCGTCTGTTGAAGTTTCTCCAAAGCTATGTCCAACAGTAACACACCATCTGGAGTGGCCTGGCTGTCCCCAAAAGAATAACAGGGTGGGGGTGGGGAAAGAGCTTGGTCCATCTTTTCCCATATCAAGTAGCAGCTTACGTATCAAAAACTTAACTGAGGTTTTACATTTATTAGAAATTATTTGTGTGAACATGTTGGTCTTGGAATTAAGAGATATGTTAGAAGTTTAAGGAGATTTAGCTTTGTCAAGATGTATGACATTTTTGGTTAATGCCGATCTGACATACTGACATTTTTATCTTAGCTATTAAGTAAGTTGGGACAAATTAGTAGGTCCTAATATTACAGACCTGAAATTCTACTGTCCAAATAATTTGGCTGTTTTCTGCAAATAATTTATTGTAACATATCAAAAGATATTAATGGTATATCAAAAATATTCTAGCTACATAGCTGGATTGCATGAGTTTGGATACTTAGGCAAATTAACTCAGAATTTATACTCTATTTCCCCTGAAAAAGGTTCATAAATGTTTTGGGAACATATATCGAGATGATAATTATTTAATTTGACATTTAAATCTAATAAAACTAATCATAATGCACATATATGTGCAAAATGGAAACATCTAAGTAATTTGTGAGATTTTTAAAAATAATTCCTAATGGAAGTTTTTTCCCCCATCTCATAAAGCCATAAATATTTCATACTACGTGGATGTTTCAGTTGTATCAGCTATCCTCAGGAACAATAACGAAGCACCATTTCCACTATTGATAATGATATGATTTATACAGAGAACCCGTTAATTTGATTCTCTCATCACAGCTTTTTTCTAGCTCTTAAGGAAGAGTAAAGTGGCAAAGAAACCAGCTCTGAATAGATTCAAGCCAGGATCATTTCTGGATTCTTCAGGAATACCAAGTACGTTCTTTCTTCTTTTGAAATATGAATGATGTCAGCATTATTCTCAGATATTTTTGTTTAATTCAGTTTTCAACAAACTCTAACAAAGCAGGAGTCTTTTTACTATAACTTTCTTCCCCCACGGTAGCCTCAGACTGAAACCCCATTGTGAATGTCCTGACTCCCCAAGTCCAGTCTTCCCATAAATAGTTGATTAATCCCCAGCTGAAGCAATGACAGTGAAATGAAGTTGAGTAGCAGGAGGACAATAGGATGCAATTGAACTTTAATGATCTCCAGCGTGACAGATGTTGAACACAGACTTTTGCACAGAGCCACTCAGCTCTGTTACTCTGAGTCCTAATAGTCTTGGTCAGGAATGGTAATTCTGTGACAGGAAAGACCACAGTATTTCATCATCAAAATGTCAAATATATTTTTTGAATTCTTATGGAAATCTGCCCTATTAATCCTATTATTTGTCATATTCACATATCTCATCCCTTTCCCCAAAAAGTCTCCTCTGTGACACTCTTGGGAATGTTGCCCCACAAAACATACTGTGTGCTTCTTCTGGACTCTACTGATCAAAGTGCTAATAAGATGTGTGATTTTGCAGGCCATATATTCACGTTTGGAGAGATTATAGCCTGTGTACTAAGAGAAGCAAAAGCACAACTTTTCCAAAAAGGAAAAATAGCAGTATGCACACAGCACATAAGAACATAAACTAGCAGATATCTATGACATGAAATTGATCTAAGATAGAGATACATAGAGAACATTGCTATAATAAAGGGCCTTAGGAGTATACAGTGTGTGAAGTAAGACATTTCCTAAATGTATTCTGAAGGACAATTTATTAGTACTACAGAGAGGCCTTAAGGGAAAAGGATTTCATTGTCAAGCAAGTTTGGGAAACATATTTGCTATCTCCTGCTTGGAGAGACATGAAGCAAAATTAGTACAGTAAAGTTTCTGAGAAGTCCTAAGATAAAGAAACCTCCTGACTCCAGCATTTCTTAGACCTTTTTGAACACAGACCTTTTTTTCCTAGAAAAGCCTGTTCACAAAGATCCTTGGAATACACATTTTCAAGTCTGCTCTAGTACCTCCCATTTATTTTATAGAGGAGAAGGTGTGTCATAGAAGCTAAACAGTATGCTCAGAGGTATTGAGCAACTTTATGACTGTATTAAAATATCCTGTGTCCTTTGATTTTAGAGGCTTTCAAATTATAAGATCACTTAATATGAGCCACTCAGTTTATGGTAGGCAACTGAGATCCACCAGTGACTTCCCAAAGTCAGACAAGTCACTAGTGAAGGTTTCAAAAATAAAGTTAGAAATTGTGTACTTAAAGGACAGTGTTAACTTATTTTATAACTCTAATGTCTAGCAGAGCACTTAGACAATGAAGGGTAATACACAAACTGAATGGCTAGAAAAATAAATTAGGTAAATGAGAGATAGATGCTACAGAATGAGTGCATTCCTAGTGAATAACCCATATGAATGATTTGCATTCCTTCACCTCATAAAGAACATACACATTAGCTCCACATTTTGAATGCAAAATTAATTCTTACCAGAAAATACCACCATTTGAGCCAGAAGAACATGCATCTCAGAAATTCCCACTTTGTTTCTATACTGAAGGTATGATCTTACCAAGGGAACTGGCAGTTACTTTATATCGCAGGGTTGGCCAGAAATCAAAACTACCAGATGGAAATGGGGGGAGAGGGAGACATAGAAGGAGTTTACATCTGTAGGAGTAGAAAAATAGGAGCAATATTATTTTAAAGATAGTTGACAAGGATGCAGGGGTTCCCATCCCAGGCCCCAGAAGTGATCACTTATCTCCAGAAAGTATGGGCTTACCACAGTGCCCCAGGTGATTCTCCAACCCCCATCGCTTCATACACTGCTTGAAAATTCTGACTTGACAGTCTGATTTAGTTTCTCCTCACCATGAGCCAGACTGACTTGCATGGTTTAGACTCTGCATTCACTCTTCTCCATAGTGGATCTTAGCCTCCTCTTAGTGTCTGGGTTAAGCACCATCTTTGGAGTCAGTTTTGAGTCCAGTATCTCCTGTCAGCTAGCTGTGTGCCCTTACACAGATCACTTCTATTTTTCCATCTGCAAAGCGGAATCATAATACCTACCTCAAAGGGCAGTAGAGAGCATTAGATGAGACTGTAGCTGTAAAGAACCTGCCTGGTCCCTAAAGAAGTCACTCTTTAAATGACAACTAATACTTCATGTTGTGAGTAGATTTTACAAATGATAATGAAAATGAACTTAATGAATCATTGTTTGAATCTTTTATACATAAAGCTACGGTTAGTCATGATGTGAATCCCAGCTGTGCAATCTTAGGCAACTTACTTAACTTCTCTATGCCTCTTAACTTAATCTGTTAAAGAGAGGGGTAATAATAGAACCAATTTATAGATTTGGTATGAGGATTAGATAGTTAATCTTTGTAAACACTTTGGTCTGTGTTTGGCATACAGTTAAACGCGGCACAAGTGCTTATTTGGGTAAATAAAATGATCTGTGGCAATTGTTCAAGATGTAGATTAGCCTCCCCTCCTTTCTGCTCATTTTTGCTTTATTTTTCTTCTCTTCCATAGGAGCAGGAACAGGGAGAGAAGAGTAAATTGAAAGGAGTTCCTTTTCCCTTTTGCTGCTCAGGGACTTACTGGCTAGTAAATTTGGGGATTGTATTATAGTTTGAGGTTTAATTTTGTAGTTACAGACACATATTTTAAAGTGTTAATTTTCAGGAGATGCTCTATTTTTCCAGTGACTGGAATATTTGCATTCACCATCCAGGCCTTCCCTTCCTGGTACTGAGGTCTTTTTGAGAAGACAAATCAGTTATGATTTCTTTTCATGAGTCTAGAAGCAGAACAAAGGGAATCAATCCAAGGGATGGGCTGCACTGTTCTATGGTAAATTTGGACCAGAAGCTATGTTTTTCAGAATGCCTTTCCCTGTGTCATTCTGGATTTGAAGTGGGCAAAAGGAAGTTACATGAGCTTTGGGAAGCAGAAGTGAAGTCAACATGTTCTGAACATTATTTCAGGTTAGAGGCCATGAAAAACAGACAAGGGTGCACCTAGATTCCCATTTGTTCTTGAACTTTTTCACTGTGTTTCTACTCCTCCCTCCCGACTGCCAGCTCTACCGCACAACACCTCCCCACCTAGTCTTATTTCAGCCCCTGGAAATACATGCCTCCTGGACCCAACTCCAAGCTCTTCCTCATTCACCCAAGCCAGGGTTGCTTAGTGACTATTCCTTGATGCTTCAACAACCCCTTCAAGACCCTTGCACTCTTAGCCCCTTGCCCTATTGTGTAAGTCATCATCCTTATAATAAATTCCTTCTTCCATAGTCCACACAGTGGCCCCATTTTACTGGTTGAACCCTGGACTGGTACAAGGAATCTTTTCTCCAGGCAACAGCAAAATCACAGGAC